TATTTTTATCATTTCCAAACGACAAGGCCAAGAACTGGGACTTTAACAGGTAGTTCCCGAAACAAATAACGCGAACTAATTTGCTCGTATGACCCATACTACAGCTTGGTTTACGGAAGGAACGTACTCATGACATCTCTACTGCATTAAAAAAATTGCAGTATTACTAATCACCCGTGCTATAAGTTGAACATGAGCGCCCTTCCAGGCTGACAATGGCCCACTCCATCCCATGTGGCGGTGTGCTGTTTAGTCCAAAACTGGACGTCTAGTACTTGTCGACATGTGCTAGCAGAGCAGCATGCAGAGTAAAGTTGGAGCTTCCATTGTGCACAACGGCGTGTCTGACGGCTATTAATAAGCGAGTTAATTTACCAAACTGGTTTTAACTAAACGTACTCGGAGATAGGTTAGTTCAGAGTAGAGCGAACTGTACAAGACCAGCGCGCACACTTGGTCTAATCCTGTCTTTCCCGTCTGAATATCAGCCCAGTAAAAAACAGACAGAGGTAAAGTCACCTTTTTGTAAATCCTGGCGCCTGTTTTTCAGTTAGAATAAAAACATCACCGCCTGGAAGCCAAGTTTATTTAACGCAATTTGTTTCATTTTAAAGCTGTCCGTAACTTTTTCTTTTTGGTCAGACGCCAGGCGGCACGCACTTGCTGATGACTTATTCCGAGGGATAAGTTGCTCTGTTTTGCGATCTCATTCGTGACAATAGGAGGTTTATTTTGAAAGCATCAAGAGGACATTATTCAAGCAGAGTCAACACCGAATCAATCTCAAAATATAGACACTTTAGACAGTAATAGTCTGTGCGAGCGGCCAGATGCACAGTATAATTTATAAATGGCATTATGTAAAATAGGCGAGATTTTCATGTCCGCAGACGATTCGTCCCATTTTATATGGCACTCTTGGTAAAAATATTTACAAACTTTAATGTTGATGTTTTTAGGAAAAATGTTGACCTACGGATGAAGCAGTGATATAGGATCCTGAATTTGGAAATAGGAGGAGAGTTCAGAGGAATGAGTAGATAAGGCTCCTTCTGAGGGTAAAATGAAACTTTAAGGGCATATGAGCAAGTGATAACAGAGTGTTACTATATGTGCGCCTAGGGAGGTAAAGTTACGGCACAATGTAGCGGCCGAAGACGTCGAATAGATCGCTCCGGGTAGCAACAAGAAAAGTGGTTTCTAATTTATGAAATCTTTGTAACGATAACGAATGGATAGAGTAGAAAAAGTGGAAAATAACGAATACATAAAATAACGCGGTACCGTACAAATGATCCATTCGGAGAGGGAGGTAGCCAGGTTACATTAGTCAGACGCCAGTGAGAAAAACAGCGCTGTCGGGAACTGCGGGTTAGGGCCGAAGATTTTGCTAACGAAAAAGAAGCGAGACATGGACGGACGGCAAGAGCGATGGACTCGGTATCAGCGGTAGGAAAGGGTGGAACCCTATTTACAGATAGCGTATGAAAAGCATGCAAATATTTACATTGCAGTTATGCCAGTCATTCATTTCCAGTAAATGTTTGAACATCATACATAAATTTATCAAGTCTTTTTTGAAGGCCTCAACGTCTTCCGCCAAGACGACGGTATTCGGCTACATGATCTATTCTTCAACCAGCCGCTGGGAGAAGAATTTGGTCCGCACTTCAAGTTTGGCATACTTTATCTTCAATTGGCATTGGTGGACCCGAAGAATGGTTCTTCGTGCCAGTTCCATGAAATTTTCGAACAGAGTCTAGCACTCTGACGACCCTAAAGGCCAAAATAATATCCCCTCTGTATTGTCCATAAGAGAGGGTTAATATTTTAGCTTTTCCAAGCGTCCCTCATGAGGGAAGCAACTTAATCCGCCAACCAGCTTGTTTGAACTTCGTTGTACGTTCTCCCACAGGGTATAATCGTGTTTCCTCCAGCGATACCATGCTTGAACGCAATATTCCAACATTGGCGGACAAATGTTCCCAACACTTGGTCGAAAAGTTCTTTGTCAAGATTGACGAAGGATCTTCTAATTGCGCCTAGGGTGCCATGGCTTTCTTTGATACCCTGGCGCAGTGAGACGATGGTTTGAGAGTTGACGACATCCACACACCGAGATCTGTTAACTCGTTGGCTGATTCGAGTTGGTGACCTCCTA